TTTTGAGATAGAGGCTCGCCCTGTCACCCATGCCGGAGTGCAGTGGCATGATCTTGGCTCACTGTAACCTCTGCCTCCCAAGTTTAAGCAGTTCTCCTGTCTCAGCCTCCTGAGTAGCTGGGACTACAGGTACATGCCACCACACCCGGCTAATTTTTGTATTTTAGTAGAAACGGGGTTTCACCATATTGGTCAGGCTTGTCTTGAACTCTTGACCTCAGGTGATCCACCTGCCTTGGCCTCCCAGTGTTGAGATTACAGGCGTGAGCCACTGTGCCCAGCCTCCATTAACATTTAATATAATGATATGGTTGAATTTAGGTCTACAATTTTATTTTCTGTTTCTTTTGTTTTTTGGTTTTTCTTTTTCTTTGTTTTCCCTCTGTTCTTCTTTTTATGCCTCGTTTTGGATTAAAATTTTTTTTTGAATTTCACTTTAGTGACTTTTTAGTTATTCTTCTTCACATTGTTTTTTCATGATTGTCCTAGGAGTTACAATATACATATTCTTAACTTTTCACAGTCTACTTAGAATTAACATTATATCATTTCACATGAAATGTAAGAATCTTGGAGTAATTTTGGCTTTACAAAGTCATATATATTCTAAAGGTATTTAAAATAATCTTTTATATTTACCCACATATTTACCATTTCAGGAACTCTTTCTTCTTTTCTGAGATCTGCATTTCCATCTGGTATGGCTTCCTGTTATTTTATAAAACTTCCTTTCTTTTTTTTTTTTGGTTATAGGTTTAGTAATATAGAACTGCTAGTGACAAATTCTCTTAGAATTCTTTTATCTGAAAATGTCTTTCTTTTGCTTTCATTCTTGAAGGATATTTTTGATGGATTCTTGGTTGACAATATTTTTTTCTTACTACTTTATTTTTATTTTAAATATTAATTACAACATTTCAAAAATAATGCAATTTTATTTTAACAGAGACAGGATCTTGCTATGTTGCCCAGGCTGGTCTGAAACTCCTGGGCTCAAGCAATCTTCTTGCTTGGCCACCCAAAGGGCTGGGATTTACAGTGGTGAGAGCCACTGCACCCAGCTCTTTCACTACTTTATAGGTATTGTTTAATTGTCTTCTAGCTTGCATTGTTTCTGATAAGAAAACAGCCATGATTTTTTTTTAACATCGTTCCCCTATGTGAAATGTGTTCTCTTTCTCTTGCTGCTTTTAAATTACCATTGGTTTTACCTGTTAAATTATAACATGCCTAGATGGGGTTGTGTTATATTTATCTTGCTTATAGTATATTGAGCTTCTTAAATCTGTAAATGTATATATTTTAAAGCTACAATTTGGAAAAATTTCAGCCATTTTTTTTCTTTTTATTTTTTTAGAAACCGGGCCTCACTCTGCCACCCAGGTTGGAGTGCAGTGGTATGATCATGGCTTACTGCAGCCTCAACCTTCTGGGTTCAGGTGATCCTCCCACTTCAGCCTCTTGATTAGTTGGGACAACAGGCATGTGACACTGCAACCAGCTAGTTTCTAAATTTTAGATAGAGACAGAGTCTTGCTATGTTGTCCAGATTGGTCTTGAACTCCTGAGTTCAAGCAATCCTCTTCTCTTGGCCTCCCAACATGCTGGTATTATAGGCATGAGCCACTGTACCTGGCCATGGCTAATTATTTTATTTTTTGCAGAGATGGGGTTCTCCCTATGTTGCCCAGGCTGATCTGGAACTCCTGGGCTCAAGTGATATTCTTCTGCCTTGGCCTCCCAAAGTGTTGGGCTTATAGACATGAGCACTCTTCCCAGCCCATATTTCTTTAGTTTTTTTTTTTTTTTTTTTCTAAACTGCCCTCTTCCTTCTTTTTTTTTTTTTTTTTGATCTCATTCTCTTCTCTCCTTCTGTGAGTCCAATTTTATTTATGTTAGACCTTCAGATATTGTCTCCATTGATTCCTGAAGCTCCATTTATTTTTATAAAAAAACTTATTTTCTTCTTCTTTATTCTTCAGATTGAATAATTTTATTAACCTATCTTCTTGTTCACTGACTCTTCTGTTATCACCAGTCTGATTTTAGGCACATCTAGTGAATTTTGTATTTAAATTACAGATATTGTATTTTTCAATTCGAGAATTTCCATTTGTTTCTTTTTTATAGTAGGTATCTGCTGATATTTTCTATTTGCTCATTTATTATGAGGATATTTTCTTCTATGTCTTTGAGCATAATTTTAATGCCTTTGTCTGCTTTACTTTAAAATCTTTGCTAATTTCACTAGGTGAGTCATGTCAAGGTTGGCCTCTATTGATTGTTTTTTATTGGTATAGGTCACATTTTCCTACATTTTGTATGTCTAGTGATTTTGGATTATAGTCTGGATACAGTCAACAATATGTTATAGAGATTTTGGATTCTGTTATGTTTCTCTGAAAACCATTGATTTTTTTTCCCTTCGTTTGCTTTAGTAAGCAGTGAGTTTGGATGAAAGACTCAACTTTGGTCTCCTATGCATTAGGCAGTTGATGTCGATGAGACTGTTTAGCCTTAGACAGACTGGTAGGCGCTTTCCCCACACCTGCACCCCACACAGTTCAAAGGTCAATCAGAGATTTGAGCAGAATTTATGTACAAAATTTGTAGCTCCCCTTTTCTGGCTCTCTCCTTTTTGGGATGTTTTTCTCTTACTTTCTAACTTCTGAGTTTGCACCAGTCTGTTTTTTTGCTTTTTAAAAACAGTAAGACTATGACTCTTTATGGCACCAGGTGGAACTTGCCTTCAGGCAAGGAGCTGTGAAAAATGGGAAACTCATCGAGTGGCATTCTCTTCTTCCAAGCATGAACTTTCAGTTGCTCTGCCATGCTTTAAGGAATCTGTTTTTAATATCTGGGTCAGTTTTAAAAGTTGTTATGTGAGGAGTGTTGGTCAGATTGGTGCTTCTCTGACATAAGTAGAAGTAGAAAACTGCAATAAAAGAGGAATTCCTTGATCTAATCCAAAGCAATGGTAATGGAAGGGAGCATTTCTGGCTGAGGCATGTCAATAGCGCCTCTTTTTCAAAATGGTAAAAAACTCAGCCTTCCTCATCTGGGCTCTACCAGGTGGTCTTCTGTTGTGATTTCTCTCTTAACTCTGCTGCCCATGCTTACCCTCAGTCTCTCTTATTTTTTCTCTTCTAATTCTGTCAGGGGGATAGAAGAGTTTTTCTCCCTACCTCAAGATCAGGGATATGAAGATCTTCCCAAGACCCAGTGCCTTGTTAGTGAGGAACAGGGAAATAACCATGTAAACGGTCAATAACTTACAGGATTTCAGGTACACAAGAAGAGTCCTCAACTGGTAAGATCTCCTGAGAATCCTGATGCATCTTGAGCCACACCCTAAAAGCAGCTTTTAGAGGAAACGAAATAGCTTAGATGAGACCAGAGACTGGAAGACTCTATGACAGTATGACCAATTTCATCCACGGCAGATAAACATCACCACCCTTAACTACCTTTTGCTTCCTTGTTCTCTGTTACCATTTTTCCTACATCATTCTGATGTCTGTTCCTACATCATTCTGATGTCTGTTCCTACATGTATTCCCTTCCGTAAGGCTTTTAACTTTTATTCCTATTTCACTCCAAGATTTTCAAAGTGGACAAATTTCCCCACCGTGCTGTGTGAGAGGCAGATCACTAGTGTCCGTTAAATCCCAAACACATTCTTGAGCTGTGAATCAACATGACCACCTCCCCTCTCTCTGCCATGACTTTGGCATAGCCTAGCTGCATTTCTACATTTGTGTTTTTTACAGATAATTCTCCAAACTATTAAAAAGTGATTTCTAGCCATCCTTGCAAAGTCAACTCATCTTTCCAACTAAAGCATGGAAAATTGCCAATCAGAAATCTCTGACAATTCTTCAAAAAGGTCTGCTGAGTTTGTGTTTAAATTGGAAACATTTCGTGTTTGCATCTAAAATTTTATAGTAGGTGATGGTTGTTCTCTGAAATGTGACATTAAGATTTTTTCCCATTAAAGTTTATATCACCAAGTTAACAGTCTAAAGCAAAACTATATATGCAAGGAAAATTATATTAATTCTGCCAAGTATATATTCTGTGTTGAAAAATATAGTTGATTTTCCTTGTCTTTCATCCATAATTGCTTCCTGGGCATGGGTGCTTTGGTGCTAAAGGGTCTCCGTTTCTTTCCTGTGACTCACTTTATTCTTTCTCTTCTTGCTGTCACATTCTACTGTAATGTGGGTAGCAAGCATAAAGATGGCCCAGATTAGTAATTCTTCCGTGAACCATCCAAGTATGACCTTGTGTGCTTCATAGAAAGTGGAGTTTGTGAACTCAGATGTCTCTGAGTCCACACAGGTACTGGAAAGAAGAAAAATAAATGAAAAAGGAAAGAATGTGCAGTGCAATGAATGTAGCTCAACAGGGATGGGCTGGGGAATCATGGCAAATATGTTTCATCTTCTCAGCCACTGCAGGTTGCTAGCAAGAGGAGGTGTGAGCCCGTGCTGCCAGATCTCCAGGTTTTAAATGAGAAGCCCAAAAATCCAGATTTGTATGAGATCTCTTGATTTTTAAATGTTAAAAATAAATTCAAATTTTACAAATCTGCCCAGCTTTGCTTCAAAATTAGTTCTAAACTGTGGGACCACAGTTTTGTACCTTCCAAAATTCTGAGATTTTGCTGTTTGTTTTACTTTAATGTGCTAGAGCTGCACTGTCCAATACAGCAGCCACTGGTCATATGTGACTGTTAGACACAGAAATGTGGCTTGTCCAAATTGAGATGTACTGTAATATAAAATACAGAATGGATTTTGAAGACAGAATAAAACAAGAATATAAAATATTTGTGTCATTTAAAAAAAATTTTTTTTTTTTGAGACAGAGTCTTGGTCTGTTGCCAGGTGCCAGGCTGGAGTGCAGTGGTGTGATCTCAGCTCACTGCAACCTCCGCCTCCCGGGTTCAAGCAATTCTCCTGTCTCAGCCTCCTGAGTAGCTGGGACTACAGGTGCGCACCACCACACCCAACTAATTTTTGTATTTTTTAGTAGAGACGGGGTTTCACCATGTTGGCCAGGATGATCTTGATCTCTTGACCTTGTGATCTGCCCGCCTCGGCCTCCCAAAGTGCTGGGATTACAGGCGTGAGCCACCGCCCCTGGCCTTCTGTTATTTTTAAGTGACATGTTAAAATGATATTTTGGATATATTTGTTAAATAAAATGTATTATTAAAATTAGTTCCACCTGTTTCTTTTTACTTTTAAAAATGTGCTACTAGATTTAAAAAATTGCATATGTGGCTCACATTATACTTCTATTGGACAGCACTGTTCTGGAATTTAGAAAATAATCAAGTATGGCCGGGTGTGGTGGCTTATGCCCTTGGGAGGCCGAGGTGGGCGGATCACCTGAGGTTGGGAGTTCCAGACCAGCCTGACTAACATGGAGAAACCCCGTCTCTACTAAAAATACAAAATTAGCCAGCGTGGTGGCGTGTGCCTGTAATCTAGCTACTCAGGAGGCTGATGCAGGAGAATCACTTGAACCTGGGAGGAAGATGTTGCAGTGAGCCAGATCGTGCCACAGCACTCCAGCCTGGGCAATGAGAGAGAAACTCTGTCTCAAAAAAAAAAAAAATCAAATATGACCACTGCAGATGTATGGAGTGAGTGTCCTGAGAACTTGTAAATAAGGATGAAGGAAGACCGGCTCAATGAAGCTGATGTCTCCTGGGGAACTGAGGTGGAGGAAACCACTGAGCCTATTTGTGCCCATGTGTCACCCTTGGGAGTGATGAGGGGAAAGGCTGAGAGAGATAACTGTAGAAGAACCTAGAGATTTTGGCAGAGGTGAGCAGGCAAGTAACAGGTGGGAGAGTCCACTGGAAAAGTTGATGTCTGCATGTTTATAACTAGTAATGACTATGTAATGGGGCCACTCGGAAAAGATGGAGGGAACCTGAAATGTGAGTAAGGAAGGGACTCCTGTTTATGGAACATCCTCTGTGTATTGGGCACCATGCTGGGTGGCATTCATAAAGCATCTCAGACCAGGTCATAATTCTCAGAGCTCTCTGGTGGAAGATGGCTAGGGTTTTGTTGTTGTGGTTGAGACAGGGTCTCGCTCTCATACCTAGGCTGGAGTGCAGTGGCGTGATCAGAGCTTACTGCAGCCTTGACCTCCCAGGCTCAACTGATCCTCCTGCCTCAGCCTCATGAGTAGCTGGGACCACAGGCATGCACCACCACACCTGGCTAGTTTATTTTTTGTGGAGAGAGAGCCTCACTATGTTGCCCAGGCTGGTCTGTAACTTCTGGGCTCAAGCAGTCTGCCTGTTTCAGCCTTCCAAGGCAGGAGTGAGCTATCAAGCCTGCCTTTAAATTTTTTTTTTAAAACCAGAATTACATTTTGGGTTTTTGTGGGGCAGAATCTTAGAGTGAGGAGTTCTGACCAAGCAGGACTTCAAAGGAACTGTAGGTAGTGAACAGGGAGATAACCTTAGCAAATATTGGAAGCCACTGATCTGAGGAGGAGTTGAAATTGTTTTTTGGTTTTTGTTTTGCTGCTTGGAAATTAATTAATCAAATAGTTAAAATTTTAATAATGTTTTTTACTATTACTACTACTATCCTCTAATGAATATTAATGAAAATTATTTTTCAGAAAATAACCAATTCACCCCAGAAGTTAATCAGCTGCAGAAGGGAAGAGGTCCATCCCTGTGCCATGGCCGTGATGTCTTCTGAGGAAATCTTCAGGGCCTGGATCTCATAGGCTTGGGGAAGGGCCCAGGTGAAGCTGAGAACCTGGTCTGCATGACATGGAAACCATAAGGGGACAAGTTGTGTTTCTGTTTTCCTCCACCAACAAGGGATGAGAGAAGTAGGAAGAGCCTGTTGTCTACACGTCTAGAAACATCCATCAGAGGCAGACTGGTTTGTCTAACAGAGCACTGACTGGGGGTTAGGAGATGTGACCTCTAGGCTGAGGGCTGCCATTTGCTGGCTGAGCAACCCTGGGAAAAGTGACTTCATCCCTTCGGTCCTACGTTTTCTCATCTGTAATTGGGGAATTAACTACACACCTGCTAAACACACACACACACAGAGTCTCTCCCTATATATATACACATGTACACATATATACATCCTACACTTTCGAGGCTAGAGGGAACTGGTGACATTCTACAGTCTGACTAATTCTGTGTTTCTGGAGAGCAGGATGCAAATGTGTGGTAAGAATGATCAAAGACTCTACACACTGGGTGGCTTGGACAGCCCACGTTCCCAGAATAATCCTTGAGAGAAAAGGAAGAATGGGAGCAATGGCGTTGATTTCACTTCAAGCCAAATGCCGGTGCAGAGGTGAATGGCTCAGCGAGCACTACAATAGGTGACCTGGAGGAAGGTCACAGCTGCACTGAAAATGGGATGCGCGTGAACACAGCGGATCCATGAACTACTGTAAAGTGTTGACAGCGTGCACACTGCGGCCAGCAGGTGACGTGTGTGTGCAATGCGATGAGAATGCAGAAGTCAGTAATGTGGGCGATGTTTGTTGTGCTCCTTTTTTCCTATAGAGCTGCTAAAGTACAGAATTTAGCAAATAAAAAGGGGCCACCCTGCCCAAAAGTGTCTTTAAAGTTCTAGGTACATTGTCAACTTCAAGTCCAGAGAGGTTCCAAAGGACACCTTTGGTCAAGAGGACTGGGGGTGGGGGTGGAGGCGGGGGAGGAGCAGCCCCAGGAGTCCAGAACCCGGGGCTGCATGAGAACCCCAATTGAGGCAGCTAGCATAAGCCTCACCTGGTCAGGGTGACCCTGGGCCTTTCCTGGAGATCCCACCCCACAGGAAATCCTTGGGGGACCCTCTTTTCCTTGACAGCTTACTCAGGATATCTCAGCCCCTCTTAGTCTACTCATTTAGGACCTATCTCTGGAAGCCTCTACCCACCCCTCTCCCCTACCAGGTAAAGAAAAGAGCCAACTGCAGAGAAGGAATGGGGGAGGAAACTGGTTGAGGGGTGAAGGGATTGATGAGCAGGGCCTGCACCTTGCCTTCTAACCCTCTCAAAGCTCAGGAGCCTGAGTTGGTTTATCTCCATCTCCGCTTCCTGGGCTTTTTCCAGCCAGCCCAGTGGTGGGACAGTCTAATTGCATCAACTGAGTGTTTTCCAGAGGCCACAGCCCTTCACCACCTGGAGGGGTCTCTCCAGGAGCATGAGATCGCTGAAGACCTGTTCCTTCCTTTCCTTTGATTATTTTGTATACTTCTCTGTGTTGTCTGTTGGAGTGTGTGCTAATTTTATATTTGACCTAAACTGGAAACACACTTTCAGTTTGCAAAAACAAAGACCATATTACTCTACCAGTCATCACCCTCCCTCCTCCCTCTTCCTGCCCCCTTATGGTGGGGTGGTGAGGGGCACTATCCTTCTGCCCCAGCGCAGGCCCAGAACCAAGAAAGGACCCCACCTCCCTCTGCTTGAGTCTCTCACAACTAGTCCCAGTGCCCATCCGTTTGTTGGCATGTGTAGGTATACAGAAATTTCTCTTGATTCTTCTGTTGTCTCTCCATGTCCTGAACATGCATTTATGGTGCCCCAGCCATGCACCAGACCTGCCAACCCCCACTTGTGGAGGGGCTGCCTTCTCTACAGCTGACCATTCCCTCTCCCCTGGAGCACTTCTATCCTGAGTCCCAGCCCTCCCCCTCCCCCTCCAGTGCATTTATCCCTACGGCTGGACACTCACATGAGTGAAAAGGAATGTGATTCATACTTACAGCAGGACTGCAGCTGTAAACTGGAACTTCTCTGGGCAAACCAGGAGCCGGGTCACCCTCATCATAAGGCACAGCTTCCTGCCACGCGTTTTTTCTAGAACGTTACCCAATCACTGAGTCTAGGGGCCCAGGCTCAGCACTACTGGCTTGCTTTGTTTTCACAGCCTCTCACTGAGTCCTGCAGGAATTGGGGGAAGTACTTGTGGTGGTGGTGGTCAGGGGAAATGAGTATCTGGGGGCAGCCTAGAGCGGCTTCTGCTGTTTCAGAGAAGACTGTCTCTTGCAGCCTGACCCAGTAGAGTCCCCTTGGCCCCCAGAATCAAGTCCAGCTTTCTTAGTCCTGCCTTCAGGGTACAACTGCTAGGGCCCAGTGAATAAAATCCCTGCTCCACGAGGCTTACATTCCAATGGGGTAAGGGCAAAGTAATAACACAATAACAAAGTATTATTATTAAGTGAATTAGTACGTTGGGAGTTTGTAAGTCACGGTAAAATAAAAGGTAGAGCAGAAAACAGGGGCTGAGGGGAAGCTGCAGCGTCTTCACAAAGAAAGTGGAGGAAACAATGGACCCAAAACTATCTGTTGGATAAGTCCCCGCATAGCCACATGGTGTGAGAGATCATGAGTGATTATAGAACAAAGTAACTTGGCGACAGTGGCCAGAAAAATGGAGTTGAAGTAAAGTGAAAAAGAAAAACAAAAAAACCAAAGTAACTTGGCAACAAATCCTTAGGTGTATGTAGTCTAAAACAAAAACTTTATTCAGTATTGTAGACTCCCAATTTGAGTAAGAACAGGGCACTGTTGGAATGGAATCAAATATATTAATATGAAGTCATGACTTTATGAAACATTACATTAAAAATATTTTGACTTTTTTTTTCCACTGAAATGGCCCAGGAGAAATGTCACCTCCATAATGCATCTTAATGCTAAGATTTTGGTTTCTAGTGTTAGTTTTCTCTCAAAGGAGCCAAAGTTTCTTGGCACCAATAGTGGATGCCATGTCAGTTTGGGGTTGAAAGGTACAAGGTGATCCTAGAATGCTTATACCTTTTTTGGACAGAAAGCAAAGTGCTAAATAAGGGTCATTCAAAATTACACAAGGAACAATCTATACAGGGCTCCTCCTGGCCAAAGCTGGGACAGTATGAGCACCAGGAGGAGAATATTGGCTGGCACAATTGATACCATACATTTGAAAAGTCATTAGTCCATGGTACCCAACAAGAGCAAAGCTACCACAATGCATTCTCAGAGAAGATGAATCTGATAGAATGCATTTCTACTTGTTATTCAATCCTGCTGGGCTTACTGACTCATTTATCGTGTCAATGAAGAATTCCAGTAAATGAAAATCCATCAGTCAGAAGGCATTTCTTCTCCTCTAAAGGCTCCTCTCTGCCCCTTAACGTCTTGGCTCTCCTTGTCCTGTCAAGGGGTTCCATGGAAAAGTCTTTTAAGTTCCCTTCACAGAAGGATTGCAGACTGCTGGTCTAGTCTCTGGGCCAACCCTCCCCGTCTCTTTAATAAAGACGTTTTTTCTTATTTTCCGTGTGCTGTATATTATTCTTAGGCTAGAGTAACTTTCCACAGGTGCAGACCTCTTGGTTTCCTTTGAATTTGGAGGGCTTGGGGCGTGATCCCATCGCCAGCTTCTGGAGCCCACCAGGAGGGAATGACCCCATTACATCCACGGGTGTCTGGCGCCACCTTGTGGTAAGTGGTGGGATTTTTTTCTGTTCCCCCTTGCAATGAAGCTCCTTGGGCTTCCTGGATGAAGAAAGGAAAGCTCAGGCCGGTTTCCTAGAATAATAACTCAGTAACACAGTTTCCACGGACTTGGTCCTTAACAAACTTCCACTGTCACTGGTGGAGTTAGAATTTAGCAGCCACCCTCTCCTCGCTCTGTGTCTGTATCTGTCCCAAGCTCATGATTTGGGGCTTCACGCTATATCCATGGCTCGCCCTCCCTGCTGGGACCTTGGCCTCTCTCTCTGTCTGTTGATCTCTCCTACACGCTGCCATTCCCTACCTCTCAGAAGTAGACTTTTTTAAAATGTTTTTTTCCCTTCTGTGTGTCCTATTTCTAGGATCCCTTTACTAGACGGACTTTCCAGGGGTGTTCCTCAGCCCCCGCACAGGTCAGTAGGGAGGAGTCAGCCTGCTGCTTGTTCATGTTGAACCAGGGTGCTGCCCAGCCTGTGAAATTTGGAATTGGAACACTAGAGTTGGCCCCAAATTACAGCTTTTTCTTCTGGCTCCTGGGACTCCCAGGTTCTTCAGCAACAATAACAAAACCTGGAAAAACGTATCCTTGCCAGAGGTGGGAGAATGATCCTCACAAAAGGATCTTTCTTGTCTCCCCCAGCAAGAGGTTGCAAGACCAGGTTGCGGAACCCCATTAAGGACCTTGGAGAAAGAACTGAGCAAGGAGCCTTCTCAGGGACCTGCAAACATCTCCACGAGCAAAAGTATGAATCCTCATATAGTGGAGGAGGTACATGTTCCTGGTTCCTTCACTGGACCTCACTGAAAAAAATCAACAACAACAACAACAACAAACTACGTTAAATAAAAAAACCCCTGGCGGCCGGGTGCGGTGGCTCACGCCTGTAATCCCAGCACTTTGGGAGGCCGAGGTGGGCGGATCACCAGAAATCAGGAGTTCGAGACCAGCCTGACCCTCTCTACTAAAAATACAAAAATTAGCTGGGCGAGGGTGTGGGCACCTGCAGTCCCAGCTACTTGGGAGGCTCGGGCAGGAGAATCGCCCAGGAGGCGGAGGTTGCGATGAGTGGAGATTGCACCATTGCACTCCAGCCTGGGCGACAGCCAGACTCCCTCTAAAAAAGAAACAAACAAACGCTTTTGGAGAAACTAGTGCGTAAACAAACCTCAGTAACTTCTAACTTTTGCTTCTGTACTTAAAACAGCTCCTCTAGGAAGTGGCCGCATGCCTCCAAATTTCCTGCAGATGCCAGCCAGTCTTCTATGAAATTTGAGTTTCTGGCCCTAGGAGATCACAGCTCAGAAGGTAGGCCCCTCTGATGTCATCCCACCTGCATTAATCACGAGGACGAGCTTTCCCAGGTGAAGCCATTTCATTGACATTAACTGCTCACTGTCTCACTGGAACTTTTTTTTTCTCTCTTTTTTTTTTTTTTTTTTT